TAGAGTATGAAAGGCGTGGGGGTCTGTTTCACATTAGCATATCTACGTCAGGTATGCAAATAGGAACTGACAGACGTGGGAGTCTGTTTCACATTTGCATATATACGTCAAGTGTGTAAATAGAAAGCGACAAGATGTAGGGATCAGTTTCACATTTGCATATCTACGTAGAGTGTGTAAATAGGAAGACGACATCACCTGGGGACCAATAACCCCCACCCACTAATCGCTGACTCGCAGGGACATATTGTGACCGCGACAATCCGACCGAAAGCTCCCGCCTGGATGGTTCCGCTATTGGTGTCGTCTTGCACCGGTTTATTGAACCCCTAATTGGAGTTCCTCTTGTTGATCACTCCGGTGGATCATCCCCCAATATCAGCTCACACACAGAATGTCGTCACCGAGACTTCACGGTGAAATTGTGGTGGTCACGGTGAACACTAACACTATCTATACCTTATACCTATGTAATGTGTGCGCGCGTTTGTGTCAAAAATCTTTGTTGGATCTTGTTGGATCCGTAAATTTTCAATTCATTATCATTTATTTTAAAGAAAAACTATAAATCTCTCTTAAAATTTAATTATTCAAATATTTAAAGTTCTCAATAATTTACACTCATAGACAAAATTTAAGGAAGTGGAAAGTCTTTGATATCGCCGGTCGTCTATTTTTTTTTTTTTTTAACAGACAAAGAGACAATTTTGTTCACACTTGGTTATCTCGCGTCTTCAATAAAGGTCACTGTAATATCTTTCAGAGTTATTGTCTGAATCCCGATATACATGCTGAAAGGTTCAGGTTCCTTAAGTTTTGTCGATAAGTATTTATATGGAAATAATTATAAATCTTTAAAAAATCGTTTTATGGTTAGGTATATATGTAATCAGAGGGAACTGTGGGACAAAACTTCAATGACGATAATTCCAGTGGAGCTAACTCTGAATCCCAATAGAAATATGTCTTTAATCCTGATTCAAGTAGTGAAACTATGTTGTTTAGTGAACATTCATCAGTGACCCCATAGCACCATCTATCGGCGAATGGACTCACTATTTCTGTTCCAAAATAACTATTAGATACCGCTCGAAAAGAACAACCTAGCTTATGTTATTTATAATGAAAAATATGAACAGGTTCTGACAGAAAAAAAGTGTCCAATGCGAGATTCAATCCCGGTTCACGGCTGTCGGGAATCGAGGGTGTTACCTACTCATCCCCGGCCTCTCCATTTTTAATCCTTGCCGTTTATAAAAATGTCTTAATTCCTGTGTAAATATCTTTTAATTCTATATAATATAATGCACTAGCCGAATGACCCGGGCAAAGCCCGGGTTTTACCCGATTAAATGCTTTTATTCAAATACTATTCGTTACAATTATAAATTGGCGCCGTGGATGTCATTCTTGAAAAATATATAAATGAGTTTTAAAAATTGTAAAAAAAAAAAAAATGCATCAGCCGGGAATCGAACCCGGGCCGCCCGTGTGGCAGGCGAGCATTCTACCACTGAACCACCGATGGTTATTAGAAATGGCCATATTTGGGTATTTATTCCATTCACAAAAGCAAACAGTGACAGAATTGATTAAGAAAGTATTGATTATGACGCTGATAACTGTATATTTTAATTAGCGCGTCATCTGTTATGAAAATCCGAAACTATTATAGACGCGTACGATTCTTTTAAAAAATTTAAACAATTTCAATTGTCCCCTTACTGCAATGGAAAAATTAATGGGAGGTCTTGGCTCATTAGTGGTAAACCCTCCCAGCGGAAATTAAACTGGCGAAACCGCTGGGAGGGTTCACCACTGATGAGCCAGGCCCTCCCATTAATTTTTCCATTGTAGTAAGGACAGTAGAAATTGTTTAAATTTTTTAAAGAATCATACGCGTCTATAATAGTTTTGAATTCTATCTATAAAAAGTAGCTTGACAATTGTCACAATTGTCAGCGTCTGTGTATTTGTGGGTGGGTTTGGGAGAATTTTATTAATGCTGTGATTGCGTTGAAAGCCTCTTTAACAACTCCCAAAATAATATCTATTATATTTATATTAGAAAATTACATTTATAAATTCAATTGCCATCAATCGATAAAATTTGTAACAAATATTTATTTTGGCAATATCATCATTTGATGATCTTATTAAAAAGAAACACACCCAAGATAGTGGACATTGCTGTGATGGAGATGTATGGAGACATCTGAAGCTCTTCATTGGACACAACAACAACAGAAAATTGACATGGACCCAGAACTTACACACCCAAGATAGAGATCATTGCTGTGATAGAGATGCATGGAGGCATCTGAGGCTCTTCATTGGACACAACAACAACAGAAAATTGACATGGACCCAGAACTTTACACACCCAAGATAGAGAACATTGCTGCTGCTGTGATAGAGATGCATGGAGACATCTGAGGCTCTTCATTGGACACAACAACAACAGAAAATTGACATGGACCCAGAACTTACACACCCAAGATAGAGATCATTGCTGTGATAGAGATGCATGGAGACATCTGAGGCTCTTCATTGGACACAACAACAACAGAAAATTGACATGGACCCAGAACTTACACACCCAAGATAGAGATCATTGCTGTGATAGAGATGCATGGAGACATCTGAGGCTCTTCATTGGACACAACAACAACAGAAAATTGACATGGACCCAGAACTTTACACACCCAAGATAGAGAACGACTGCTGTGATAGAGATGTATAGAGACATATGAGGCTCTTCATTGGACACAACAACAACAATAGAAAATTGACATGGACCCAGAACTTTACACACCCAAGATAGTGGACATTACGACTGCTGTGATAGAGATGCATGGAGACATCTGAGGCTCTTCATTGGACACGACAACAACAATAGAAAATTGACATGGACCCAGAACTTTACACACCCAAGATAGTGGACATTGCTGTGATAGAGATGTATGGAGACATCTGAGGCTCTTCATTGGACACAACAACAACAATAGAAAATTGTCATGGACCCAGAACTTTACACACCCAAGATAGAGAACGACTGCTGTGATAGAGATGTATAGAGACATATGAGGCTCTTCATTGGACACAACAACAACAATAGAAAATTGACATGGACCCAGAACTTTACACACCCAAGATAGTGGACATTACGACTGCTGTGATAGAGATGCATGGAGACATCTGAGGCTCTTCATTGGACACGACAACAACAATAGAAAATTGACATGGACCCAGAACTTTACACACCCAAGATAGTGGACATTGCTGTGATAGAGATGTATGGAGACATCTGAGGCTCTTCATTGGACACAACAACAACAATAGAAAATTGTCATGGACCCAGAACTTTACACACCCAAGATATAGGACATTGCGACTGTTGTGATAGAGATGTATGGAGACATCTGAGGCTCTTCATTGGACACGACAACAACAGAAAATTGACATGGACCCAGAACTTTACACACCCAAGATAGTGGACTGAGGCTCTTCATTGGACACGACAACAACAACATTAAAAAGAAACACATTGCCAAAAAATAACTATTAAAATTTATATATATATATATATGTATGTATAACCTAATTGTGTGTTTAGGCGAATGATATTCATGCACCCAAAGAGGCACCTCTCCCTTTAAATACGCATTTAAAAATTCAGTTTGTTTATCACCCCCGTGCAAAACCTTAAAGGTGATAATAAGGAATAAGCCACAACACCAGTATTGGTAAATTCAGACAACACCCAACAACCAGTATTTCGTCGTTTCGGGCTATAGCCCTCATCAGTACAGGGACATAACATCCTACAAGAGGGTTTATGGAATCGTTCCAATTTACCAAACAGGTGTTTAAACTGGTGAAATGACAAGGACCGTTTTTTACAGTCTACCATACAATATAAAGTTACGGGAGGATGATATTCATTAGAATAATGCATTTTAAAGGTAGAGGTGCTTCTTTTAGTATAAGAATAACATCTCGCAACATTTCTTTAATGCTGTATGCAAATGTCGAATTGCCTACAAAAGAATATGTCCATTATGTAAATAAGTATAGAGTATTTAAAACACAGACGATTCTACAGATAGTAGTATATCAAACTGTGGAAACCTCTAGTAGGGGTCATCACTGATGAGCCAGGCCTTGTTTTCTTCTACATAGTAGCAGCTTGTAGACATATACCTGATTTGTAAAATTCAAAGGTTTTATAGAGCAACATACAGAAGAATAAGCAGACAATACTATTTCTATAAAATAGAGAGCTGTGCATCTAAAATACGAATACAAAACTCAACTAATGACAGATTTAATAGGCAATTGCAAGTCTTAACTATTTATGAAGAGAATTCGATAAAATATACAAATGGAAAAAATAGAAAAATAAAGGTAATTTGAATACAATTAGTTATTTTTTTTCTAAAAATAAGAGAGAAAATTAAGTGTTTAATTGGAAAATGATTCAAACTTTAACGATATATGAAACTTAGTCACCAGACGATCAATAAAATGGTAAACATGGAACGTCCTGGTCAAATTTTAATAAATATAATGTGATTTCATAGATGTAAATGTCCCTCGTGAATAATTAAAGGAACAAATCACCTCTGTGGATATTGATCATCCGTACCTCTTTGTTATATTAAACCCTGTTTAATTAAATCAATTAGTTATTAATGGGATATATAGTTTTTTAAAAGTGCTTTTAACAAGAACGATAATTGGATGCAAGAAAAAATCCTACCAGACGACGACAACGACGCCCTTTTAAACAAAACGAAGTAATAATATTCTATATTCGGATTAATTAGAAGTGTAATTAAGTTATAATTACCCGGCAATCAATATTATAGCTAATTAATTATTGAAAAAACAATAGTACAAATGTGATATTGTACTGGGTGTATAAATTATGAAAAAGGCATCTCCTTATCGTGCAACTGAAAGTTGCTGATGGCACAAGCAAAAAGAAGATGCCTTTTTCATAATTAATTATTATTTCTTCTTAAATTCGAAACTATTATAGACGCGCGTATGATTCTTTTTAAAAATAAACAATTTCTACTTTTGATATTTGTCAATTTTGATAACGCAAATGCATCAATAATATTATTTCATCTGTTTTTAGTATCAGCCGATAATAAGCCGCCATTTTGTGTTATTAGATGTTGCCATTAGAAAAGTACAATCGAAGAGTTGTAAATGATATGATTTTGGGCATAATTTTAATGATAGGCTTCTCTCTTTATATTTTTATCTTATCTAATAACTTATCAAACACATTATTTATTTACTTTTTGCTTATCCTAAGAATTCTGTTCGCTCCAGGAACCTGCGCGCGTGTGTTAACTGTTGCTTATCCTAGATAGGACGGTATACAGGCCATGATAATCATGGTGGGTAGTTAGCCACTGCTTTTACTGTAAGTACGCAACATGTCTACACATGGAACAGGCCATGATAATCATGGTGGGTAGTTAGCGACTGCTTTTATTGTAGGTACACCACATGTCTACATATGGTACAGGCCATGATAATCATGATGGGTAGTTAGCGACTGATTTTACTTTAAATACAGTACAGTAAGAACAGAGAAACTGAAGAATTGGACTGATGGACTGGATGGGAAGTTATGAATAAATAAATAACTCAATATAGAGAAGTATGACGTCACTGGAGACCTGGACAAGAACAGAGAAACTGAAGAATTGGACTGATGGACTGGATGGGAAGTTATGAAGAACTAGAGATAAAGAAGCATGGAGCCCAAGACCTGATATATCAAGTGTACAAAGAAACACAAAAAATACACAATTAATTACTATAATGTTCTAAATCTCCCACTTCCTCTCAGGGTTCCCAACAGTTTGTCATAAAAAACAAACACCGGAAAAAAAGTACAAAGTATGTATTGCTGGCATGAAATAAAGAAAGAGACAAAAAAGCCCCCGCGGTCAACTAATGAAGCAGCCGAGTCCATCAATAAGATTTCCCGCCATAAATATCGCGAGCAGACGACTAATTGGGAGCCCTCCTCGTATGTATTCATTTGGCAACGCTGTCGAAGCTGGTGATTGGTGGATGCCCGCTGATGTCATCATCTCGGCTGACTTTTTTTTTCTTTCTTCTGCAATATCTGGGATTAGTAGGACTGATGATGATCACTGGCACGGTTTTTAATCAGTGAATTTTCATTATTCTGTCATCGGCAAGTGTACTGGGTTACACTGGCTCCTTCCGTTGTTGTCAGGCCTCATGGCTTCTTGGGGTTTGGACCAGTTCAAATTTCCATACCGCTGTGGATTTTGTTTTATAATTTACATTTAAATTTTTAGGTATATATTTTTTTAATATTTGACCATGTCACGCATGTTAGGCACAGTCACGCTATCCATACGTGTTGAAGGATATTCAAGCGAATCATCCGTTATGCAATTTTTTTTTCGCTGTAGAAAGACAAATATGTGTTAATATGTGGATATTAAAATATGTTCTCTAGTTTGTCAAAGT